CACTATGCGCATGTTAGCATTTAGCAAAGAAGCACCCCTGTGCTGGAAGTACAGCCTAAAATCGGTGACATAGTTGTTGAAAATCCGACAAAAATATTGAACATAAACAAATGGTTTCTCTGTTATGTATGTAATTAACATTCAAAAGAATATGACAACAATGCAATTGATTATATAACAAAAAATAGACCTGTGTTTAACAGTTAACACCTGCATTGCCTTGTAATCTGACACCTGCCTACAGTAAATGGCCTGTGAAGTCCCCAAAGGGGAAGCCATCAGGGGAATGATAATCTGTCTGCTTGGTGAGTGGACCGGGCTGTGCCAGGTGTTGGAAGGGGAGTAGTGGGGAGGGGGGTCGCTCAGTCATGTGGCACAGGGAGGTCTGGCACCGATTCAGATAGAGAGAGGACCAAAGCTCCACTTGGCAAAAGAGGCGTCTGTAAAGTGTGGACGGATGGCACAGACACAGTTTTGACCTTCCTGCAAGGGCTTGGCCACTGGACTGACCCATTAGAAGGGAGATTCATTAGCGACTCCCAAGTGAGGAAGCTAGTTTACTGGAAAGCACATTAGCCCTTTCTCTGTTGGCCCCGTGTGGAAATGCCCACTTAATGTTGCCAAACATTGCTTGCCACGATGAAGGAAAACTGAGCCATATCCTCTCTCCATTGATCAAGTGCTTATATGCCTCAAACGCCTCCAGACAAAGACATCCATAGACTATTATTAGAAAATGTAATCATCAAAGTGATGGAGGGATAAAGACCAAATAGCGCCATTAAAAACATATCTATCATAGATAATATATGCACAAGATCCTAATGTGTGCACTATAACGGAGATTTAAAGAGACTGAAATGCTGCACTGCTCATCTGCAAACACACATTAGAAAAAAAGCATGTTTTTCGTGCACAGGCTTCATGCACGTGCAGTAGGATAAAATGGTGTCAACTTTCACAGCGAGGGATCCAAAAATAGACCCTTTTCCAATTGGGGATAACATTTGTAGGCACACAAAAGCCCATGATAATCTTGCGATTTTAGGGAAGAACAAAACAATTAAAAGAGAAAACACAACGGAACAATCTGTGACAGTGTGATCCCCCGGAGTGAAACAAAGGGAATTAGGACACTTTATGTGCCACAACAAATAAACACTGTGATATAATAGCTTTTTAGGGGCCTGAAGTCCCCCGAGGACATGCTTCTACATTGTAGCAAATTAATTGCATGGAAGCATCTTGATGATGGGAAAAATATGACCTGCATTCCTGACCTTGTCTGTCACTTTGATAAGAATCTGCTTCCTTTATCAGCAGCAGAACAATGGATTTGCATGGTTAGTAATAAGATAAACACACAAAGACTCTTCAATCAAACACAATAAATACAATATAATTTTGTCTGATTTTCATTTCTACATATTATAAGGGTTAGTGTTAAAGTGTCGCTTTGATGTAGCCAACGAAACACAGTTATGTCTATGCAGAGATAAATCAAATTAAGACTGACACATGGAAATGTTTTGATTTTTCAAACTGGATAACTACGCACAAATCTTCACTCACCTGCCATAATCAATTGTACCTTTTCTCTCTTATACATGTTTAACCAACTACCGGGTTATTGGGGACACACATCAGTGCTTGTGTTCTCCCCCAGGCTACGGCTGGCAGTCAGAGATGATGCTTCAACCGCTCAACACTGCTCTTCTCTCTCTCTGTCTTTATCTCTCCATACTGCACACTACTGTACGCAACGCAATACTCTAAGTATTAATCTGGTTTATGAAAACATTGCGTGAGAAAAAAATATGATGGAAAGAGATAACAATGATGTGCCGATGATAAGCGCTATACATTTATTTTATGTCTCCCCTTTGTTGTGAAAGTGGTACAAAAATAACAAGCTTTTGAGGCTCAAGATCATTAAAACGAGCATGAAAAATGAGCAAGATATGCACCATGGCAACCATGTTGGTGGAAATTATTCATTAGCTTTCATAATTTTGACTCTACTTATTCTTGTACATTTTTCAGGAAGGCCTATGGATGTTCCTTTGTTAAATCCACAAAGGACCTTCATTTAAAAAAAAAAAAATAATCAGTTTAAAAAAAATAATATCACCACTTAGCAGGCAGGCCTATGGCTGGGGACAACATTTAATTGGCTTTATATGCTATTAAGTTCCATTTCCATCTATTGTTTTTAACTATGAAACTGTTCCACATTGTGGTATAAAAGGAGAGAAGAGGGCAAAACAAAACAGCATCGTTTGAGTCTTGCCCTTGACATCAGACCATCAAATCATCTAATGCTTGCAGCAAGCTGCAAGGAATGAAATAAAATATGAATCTATTGATTGCACTACAGCCATACTGACACCATGGCATAAAGATGTCTGGTTCTCCTGCCCAGTAGAATGCACTCCATAACCTCAGCCTCTGACACTCTGGAGCAGGAAGCAGATCCTCAGCAATTTAGGATCAGGTTCGACTGAAGCCGGCTCTGGGCTCAGCATGACAGACATCCCAGTTAGCAGTTTAAGTTCAAAGGCATGGCAGCTGTAGCCTTTAGCTGATCCCACCATTGGAAAAAATCACCAGAGGAGCAGAAGTCGGGATGCAGCAATTGAAATCTTAAACTATTTGAAAGATATATGTTTGTGAATTTAAGGGTTCTCTAACCAATGAAGTGTTTAACCAGATATTCTATAGGACAAAGAATCATGCGGAAGAATGGACAACTTCCAAGAAGACTAACAAGAAAACCAAATGACCACAATATGGCAAGTGTCTTGTAGGGTCACTTATAAGAGGATATAATTCTCTGTGCATCATGCTCCTTTACATTTTAAGTTGTGAAAATGTCATGTAGGCTAATGGTTCAATTCCAAAGTAGTTGACAGATTAATTTAACAGCAGCATGAAATATTGCACCAATGTGGTTTTCATGAACATTTCATGAGAACTAAGTGAGCTTTGTGTCAAGAATGTGGGTTACAGTTCATTAGTGCCCGACCCAGAGCTTAGGGGCTGTTGGGGACCTAACCATCAACAGTGCACATGATCGAGTCAAGAGGCACCAAGCCACACTTGATAAACACTGTTTACTGTAGCCTATACACGTGGCTTTCACACCTCTGCGGCCATGCAGTTCTAGAAAAACATTTAAAGTTAGAGCAGCCTCCTGATCACAAGTGGAAACAGCAGAGCATCATCCATAACAAAACCAACACGGATGTTGTCACTGTAGCGCAAATCCACTTTAAAGCATACGCACACATTCAAGAAAAATCACAGCAGGCGAATAAATTGTCATGGTTTAAAAACATATCTCTGGAAAACAAACTTGTCTAAAAGGTAAAAGCCAATCACTTGCATGCAGCCTGTGAGGAGAAAAACAGCCTACATGCAGCAGGTTTTTCATCATGCCCGCAAATCAGGCTGGATGGTGGAACAGCTGAAACCCTAAAAACCCTGTTCCCACCTTTAAGACACTAGGTCGTGCAGAAAATAATAGCATGACTCTGCTTATTGCACCCCACCCCTCCTCTTCCTCTCGGGTCTCGGGAACGCAGGACAAGCCCTTTTCCCCGCATTCAAGGCGTAGCGGCGCAAACATAATGTGAAGGACACCCCGCCTCCCCCCTTTTCCCTCACCTGGCATATCGTCTTCAAAATCCATGTCGTCTTGTCCCTCGTCTTCATTACTCAGCGACCCCGGCATCTTTATCTCATAGCCCCCAAAGCCCCCTTTTAGGCTGAGAATACTGAAAGTTAACCCTCCAGACGCCGCAGCCCAGGCTTCACCCAAAAACAAATGTATTCGTCGCTCAGTTAAAAAAACATGTTTTTATTTTTAAATTTTGGAGTGAATCTGGGGCTTTCTCTTCACGCGTAAAAAATAAAAAATAATATTTTCCACTGATCTCTATCCAGGTCTTGCAGTCTGAAAAATAAGAAAGACAAAAATGGAACACACATGCCCAGATTGTGACGTCTGGTCTGTTGCCATGACGATGCATCCCATAATTTTACCCACAACTAGTTAGTCATGCTCGCTTAGTTACTAGTGGCCACTTTAACTAGTAGTGTGCAACAACAAAAAACACCCCGCGACGCAGCACCATGTGCGGCTAACAGGCGGACTCTGCCTCGCCTGTCGCCGGAACATTCCTCCTGGAAGTCCGGAGAATAGACAAACTTCTGCTGCTTTAATATTCACTCGCATGCCCGGCTATACATATAAATCCGGGCTTTAGGGAGTTAAAAAAACAACATTATGTCTTAAGTGAACATTTCCATGTCAGTTAATACATTTTGGTCTAATTTATGCTTTCAATTAGCGCCTTATGTGGATAAAAACCCCCTCAGCATCAGGCTCCCTAACTGCAAAGTTGCACTTTTTAGCAGACACAAAAAACACAAATGCAGCCTGATGGGTGCCTGCTGAGAGATGAGCTCTGACTGCCAGTGGTCTAACTGTTGTCAAGGTTACCACAGCTGTAACACAGGATGCCCCACAGAGAGCTCACCACAGAGAGCAAGAGCCTCAACTTCACTTAATCCATCAAAATACACAAATCAAGGGCCGAGTGTCTCACAGGCACAGAGATTACGATTCAATGTGTCCCAATTGTGTTTGAATGTAGCCTATTAATTATAACCAGCTTAATTATTTTTGACTAACCTTATTTTCTCAATTTATATAATGCAAAGATCTACGGTTACATTTTAGGCTAATGCAATTTGCATTGCTTGCTCAGATTTGTGTACAAAGTACTAAAGCAGAAATAAGGTTCAAAAAAACATTTAACAACTACCAAAGAAGAAAACAACTTAAATATATTAGAAAAAGAGCTAGTTTTGTTTTAATTGCATCTAAATAAGATGCTAACAGTAATACTCTTGTATGTACATATGCAATTGTACCGTTTGTGACAATGCCTAAAGAAAAGAAATTAAAGCACTTTAACAATAAAAAAAAAGACAGATTGTCTTGTCTCTTTTGAAACTTTATTTAAAGTATTTGAAGTTGCGTGAAGTTTAATCTTCATCCTCCTCTTCTTCCTCATCCTGGTTGATCTGGAAGTAGCGCAGCTCATAGCTCTCCTTGGTGTTGGCCACGACCCGCAGCCAGTCCCTCAGGTTGTTCTTCTTCAGGTACTTCTTGGTGAGATACTTCAAGTACCTGCACAAGTGGAGGAGGTGGTAAGGGGAAACCATCAGATATTGTACATTAGTAAAACGTTTTTCTGTATTTATAACTAATTCATTATTTATACACTCTGAACCAGCAGCAGGCAGTTTGCAGGTCTGCAGTCTTTGAATATGCTTAAACAAATGGGGGTGGACTAAATAAGGTCAAACATAACTTTTGAAAGTTGACGTATCCAATGATCACCTGTAACCGTGTGCATTTAGCTATATTTTAATTAACCCTATTTTTGTTACAAATTAAATGTATTATTATTATTATCTAGCCCCAGATGATATACAGGTAAGGTCCTGTTATCCATGTAAGAAAGACAGTGGTAGAGTCACCCTCTAGTGGTGGAGTTCCAAACTCGGAAAGAGAAATGGAAGTCTTCTTGCAGTATTCATGCATGAGTATGTATATATTTTAAATAATCTAAAAAGACTTCCAAAAATATATAAATAGTCAATTCTACTTGACTATTTTGATGGAAAAACACAATTATCAAGGTAAGTTCGGAAAATGATCTTTGGATTTTGTTGAAGTGACTTTAAATATCCCATTTCCAAAGGGTAAACTAACAAAGGTAAACGGCTTCTGTAAAAACAACAAGTCTTTAATTTTAGGAATAGATAAAAATAAACACTGACATCATAGAGTCTTAACCCTGGGTTTGTCCATGGGCCATTCATAATTAGTACCCTTTACATTTAACCCTTAAAAACTATTGAGTTGCAGACCCCACAGTCTTTACCTGAAATGGAGACTAAGGCTACGTTCCAAATCACAAACATGTTAGTTTTACCTTTAATGTGTACTACAGCTGCCCTTACAAAGTATGTACTGTTGCATCCAGTGTGTAACAATAAGGACATACTACTTCATTATAACAGTGCACCTTGAACCTCTTCCACCTATACATCCCCTGCACAAAGGACTGAGTCATTACAGCGAGAAAATACTGAATGATTGTTGCAGGGTGCTACCGAATGAAGAAGGACATCTTGGCATATCGCGTTAGTAAGGTAGTATATGAATTGGAACGCACAAGTGATTAAATGCCTACAAATGTGTTAAAACCACTATTATTCTATTAATGCTTTTCTAAACTGCATTTTGAATATTATTTCAGAACGTTATTTCTTGTATGCAAGAATTAGTTTTATTTTCCATTTTAAAAAGCCTTCTTTGGACAGAAGTCGTTAAATACTCGTTTACATGTATGAAACTATTCCAAATGCATGTGGTGTCCATATTCATATAAATAAAGTAACTCAAACAACATTGATCAGAATAGATGCTTCTTATATTTATGGAAGACCATTTTAAGCAATTGAATCCAACTGAAAATCTGGTTATACCATCTTCGTTTCATTCGTGGTAAAAGCAAAAATGCAGTTGAGGATGATATACCTTTTAAATTATTTTCAACTCAGTTCTTAACTCGTCGCGCATGTGGACTGACAAATGGCCGACCACAGTTTTCATTTATGGTAAACCCTAAACCTTTTAAAACCCCATTTGAGAATCGGCCAGTGACCGGTGACCACTCATATTTAAGGTGGTGTATTACTAATATCAAAGAGATAATGATAATTAATACATGTATTTGGGTTCTACTCATATTTATAGGCTTCATGTTTTAGGGCAAGTCGTCGGTTACACAAATGTCATTGAAACAACATTTATATTCAATGAATTTCATAAAGATTTTGCAGTCTCCTCTCGTTCAAAGATTACTGCACTGAGAGATTCTAATAACCAAACCGCTCCGGGAGACTAGTACAAACACATCTGCAAATTAGACATATTGGTTTTTGTCACACGGAATATTTTCTGCCTGGGTAGAATCACCCTCATTAAGAACAGTGGTTCCCATCATGCAGGGCGGGACCCCAAGGAGAGCCCAGAGTTATAAAAGGGGAGCACCCTGGGACTAGAAATGTTCTTTGTTTGTTCACAGGGAGTTGGTTACCCGTTATGTTTGTGCAAAAGCGTCATTATGAAAAAAATCTTTTGAAAGCAATGGATGCTATAACACAGCAAGATGCATGCTGCAGTGCCATTTTAATGCATTCACATTAAAGTGTGTTGTTTAAGTTTTTAATAAGATATCACACACTTAAGTTGCTGTAATGAATTAATTATTGACAAGCTCTATAGAAGTCTGCAAGCAAGGGAAGCGTCTAGATATGCGTTTATGTAGGTATATGCGTGATGGAGGGTGGAAATATAGAAGGGAGGCTCCACAGAAAAGGTTTGATAACTGCTGTTTAAGAGCATGACCATATAATTGCTGCATGGTGTTTTGTACCTCTTTGAGAAGGGAACTTCGGAGTTCACTGCAATTTTACTCTTGCTCCTTTCGATGGACACCACTCCACCGCCAAGGCTTCCAGCTTTGCCGTTAACCTTGATGCGCTCCTGCAGGAACTGTTCCTGCAAGTGTACAGAGAAAAAAGCAAGTCATACACAGCAAGGGTTGGTACACAAACCTGGACAGAACTGATATGACAGCAGTGTTTGGCACAAAGTGTTGTGTGTATCTGGCAGCTGTTGCACTCTGTAAAATGGACAATATGCATTGTTATGTCTGAACTGTTGTACTCACAAAGTTGGCAGCATCCATAATGCCATCCTCAACAGGGTGAGTGCAGTCCAGGGTGAACTTCAGGATCTGCTTCTTCCTCTTCCCACCTGTCTTCCTAACAACCTGCTTTTTCTATCACAGGAAAAGAGAGGGTTACTTAAACACAAACAACATGGCATATGAACCTTTAAAAAACACCCAAATTGAGAATTATATTAAAACGTTCACTTTTGTCAACATACACGTGATTGCCATCATGTTCCCAAGTCTGTAAATGAAACTGTTTAAGTTAAATTCCTCAACATTTTGTATTACCCATAAAGCTTAACTACCGATGTTTCAAAGCTAGCTGCCGTTAGCATTAAACAGTTAGCCCAACGTGGCTTTAGCCTAACACCGTAAACAAAGCCACAATAAGAGGCTAAAACATCCCTGGCTCCTGTATTGATGTACAGTAATTAGATATACTTCGCCGAGTGCAAAAAACAAGTTAAAATACATCGTCTGTATACAGTTTATTTGGACGTTTTACTACTCACAATCGGGGCCATGGCTCACGCAATCAGCAAAAAGGAAGGAGCAAAGGCTAGGCAGGCGCTATAATACCCGGCCGCATCATCGATCGCATCGATTTATCTGAGATCGATTTAGCATAGTCTTGTTTAACATTTACAGTGCTATAGCTTAAAATGTAACATACGTAAATGCTAATAATGCTCAAATGCATATTGTTTTTTAAAACAAGAAACGTTGTTTATATCTCGGGGGCATTGATGAGGCACAAACGGTTGAAAGAGGTCAGACTTTATCTTTTTATCAACTTCTGCTTGGTAGTTTTTCAACTAGGTTAACATAACAAATGTTTGCTGAGCTTCTTTTTGACTAACTTTTTAAGTAGAAATATTACATGTATTTTTTTATAACTGATATCAAACAGTCAAGACTGGTATGGCTTTGTTTACGTCACAATGTAGGCCTATGTTGATAGTTAACAGGGAAGGTGTTCAGCACTTCAGATAAATAAATAAAAATAGTTTTTCAACTGACCTTGGAAGTCAGCTGAAAATAAATGAGGAAGAATACATTTCAAGATATGTGGAGACAAGGTTTCCCATATAAATGAATAATTAGTTAATTAATTAACTGAGCAGTTGTTTCAAATACACATTTATTTCCCCGAATGATTACCACTAATATATGCACTTATTTACACTAATCCTCAAAGAAAATGTGGTTTGTTGGAAATTATTATGAAAGTTGTGAACTTTTTCTCACATTTTTGTTGTTAAATTAGAATTGAAACTTTTTTTTTTCTTTAATTATGTAATTGCTCTAATGCAACATAACAAGAACTAAGCTTAAATGAGAAATACTTTTTCTAAAAAGGTGTTTCCAAAACTCAAAGAAGGCATGAAACATAATGCTTCAGTGATACATTAAAAGTAATCTTCTTTCAATGTTGCAGCAGATTACAATATTTGCAACGCTTTATTTTCCACACCTACCCTACATACCCACCCTTCCTTTAAGTTCAAGACGTAACAACAGAGTGACAGTAGAAATAGGACAACTGTATTTTTCATCTCCATGGCACTGCACTATTAAATGTCCCTTATGCACTTTGGCCACACTGGGGGCTGGCCCGAGGTGTGTGCTGCCAGCTGCCTGGCGGAGGGACCACTATTGAAGAGTTTCTACATCGCTCTCATTCCTGCTGGGGGTAGCTGATAGCACAACTGAAAGGTAATACAGTGGCTCTGTCTGCTTTCTGTTGACTAGCCTTCTGCATTTACAATAGCATTTGTTTTCTGGATATAATGTTGCTGCTGACAATGTATCTGATGTTATTTATAAGCCGCCTTTGGATTGTGTGTTGTCACTGAAGCCCCGGCACTCGTTAGACATCTGACAAGGTAAGCAACAAAGAAATAAAGCTTGTTTATGCTTATTATTAATATCTGACTATTATCATGAAAGTGTTGCATATCGCAATCATCTTAGCCTCACTTTTATTAACAGAAATAATTGGACCATAACATACATTAAAGCTTGGTTTTAAAACTTGTCTCTCACAATTTGTCATCATTGGCATGCTCTGTTTGCAGATGGCAGGAGAAATCTTCACCAACTTGGATAACCTCTTTAATGTGGATTGTGCCAATGTCCACCCCCTGGTGTGTCACTTGTGCCATGAGCAGTACCGGTCCCCGTGTTTGTTGGACTGCTACCACATCTTCTGTGCCCGCTGCCTGCGAGGCCGGATCAATGACAACCGCCTCAGCTGCCCCCTCTGTGGGTAAGAGATAGCACTGTGAGATGGATCAGAACCAATTTAGGCAGCGTATATTATCAGTGTAGAAAGCAATGGAAAAGCAAACACGTTTTTATACAAACTTACCAAGGAAATATTTGTTGAAAATTCATCAAAATTATGAACGTTTTAATCATGTTTCTGAACAAAAAAACAAACCTTGATTGGTGTGTTTTGGTGTACGTAGGATATCTGAATCTGGATATCACAATTCTGCTACTTAATCATACAAATATAATAATATTGAAATGCCAGGTAATGAGCAGGTTATCTAACAAACATGATTAAGATGATTAAATTAGCAGTAAAACACAATATTGCTCTTTGAATCCCCATGTTGTGTGAAAATTCCCATTTCTCTCAGAGGCCCCAGTTTTGCTGCAAGGGATTTGTTCCACATAAATTGATTAGTATGTCGGTTGGGTTCGAGATTTGAGGGGAATCCCATTGGTTCCAGGGAGCATCAAGTCCCTCTGGTTTGGTTTCAGGGGGCAGCACAGGGGTCCGGTGCTGGACTGGTCTGGGCAGGGCAGGCCGGAGTGGCTGGAGCAGCTGCAGGGTCATTACGCTCTCTCATTTTGTCCCCAGCGCTCAACAAGGCCAGCAAGTTCCTCTAACACCAGTCACAAAGCATACTGCTATTTGGCACCAGTGCCAGCAGCTTAGGGCAATCAAAACTGGTCACATGATACCAATCTATTTCATCCCCTATTAAGGAATGAATCGTGATTTCCAGTCACCTTCAGGTCTGTGTATATAATACAGGGAATAACAGTGATGTGTTGTATAGAGAAAAGGAGCTGTATTGCATTGAGTATAATAGGGGTCTTTTCTATTTCGTCAGATACAATTTGACCCAGATTTTGGGATTGCTCCTGCGTGGATGCAGACAATTAAACAGCGATGATGAGATTTGATTTCACTGCATTATTTTCAACTGCGTTTGTCATGTGCCTTAGTTAGTTGTATTGATTGGATGATGCTTTTTTTTATGCCAGAAGGAATTTGCTTTTCAATGTGGGCATGGCATTTTACATGCACAAAAAAATCATACATTAAAATATATATTGTATAACTAAAGGGGACAGCCAGCACATAGCAGACACCCACAGTAACCTGTATGTCATTAGGAATTATCATTGTATATTACAGTGACAACTGCTTGTTGAGCAGCTCATGTGATCTGATTCTGCTCTGTCAGGTCTATATCAGGTCTATATCAACCTCCTCTTAAAATAGGCTTTCTGTTGAGGCTATATATGTATGAATTCATCATCATCCAAATTGTATCCACTAGCCTATGAGCTAGTTGTTTGTAATAATTAAATAGAAATACAATTACATATTATAGCTGAACCTGAGGCAACTTCTACTGTTTGATATTAACCTGTGTTGAGGCAGATAAGCTGCTGTAAGTGATACCAACAGCAGTGGTTTTATTCATAGCACAAGAAAAAATATGAATCCAGGCAATCACATATTTTCAGTGTAAATAACCCTGTGGGCTCAGGCTGCAGGGGGGGGCAGCCCGGCAGCTATTTCCATCAGCAGCCTGCTAACAGCTGCTCACTCAAGAACCGTAATCTAGGAATGCACTACTCTGCTAGTAGAACACAATAGATCCCCGTTGCTATGAAAACGAGATTAAACATGCACAGCAGACAGGGGCAGGAAACATTAGCATCACAGCAACTGAATCAGAATGAGGAAAACAGCATTATGGGTAAATCAAACAGGCCTGTGCTAATATTGTTAATGCGTCAGACACTGGTCGCTGCATCTGCCGGTATAATCCTGTTCCACCTGACATCACATGTGCGTGATTGTTTAACCATTTAGGGAAAGGATTAGCTTAAAAAAAAATAGGACTAGTGAAGATTTAATTTAATTTAAAAATGTTATAATTTTATAAAAGATTAGTTGGTGACTATTTTGATATTCAATTGACTATTTTAGTCAAAACTTAATCTGGTTCTGAACTCTCAAATGTTAAGGTTTGATTATTATAATTTGTATTAGGCTTTTGGATTTATGGGTGGATAAAATCAAATTAATGATATTTGAAGATGCCATTTTGGGCTTTTGGAAAACATACTAGGTATTTACTATCTTCTGACAACATGATTAACTAATAAAGGACGTCATTGTTAGTTGCAGCCCCAATCTATAAATAAAATGGTATAAAATGTCAAGTTAAATCTGTGAAAATGCACCCAGTCTAATCAAAGAATAAATCCTGGCTCTCCCTCAGATCCATTACACAGATCAGTGCACATCTAACAAGAAGAAATGTTCCATCTCTTAATATGTGCAAATGCAAACAGCAGAGTATTCATTTAGATAACAATTTATTTTGATAATGTCATGCCTTACAGGTATAGAACATATGAATTGGTCGCAAAGTAGTTCTATTGAGAGCAAACTAAATATTTTGAGAGATAAAAGAGTGCCATCTTCTGGAATGTCACAAGAATGCAATAAAGATGAAAGCTAAAGGATGTATTTTTAATAACAGCAGCATTCATGTTTTTACAAATCATGTTACTTTATTTTCACTGTACAACTTAGAACAGGTTATTATACTAATGGAAACAACCATTCACCCAGTATTAAACTTAAGATGTATGAAAATGGAAGGAAATATGGAGCGATACGATTATGGCTGTTTTTTTTTTTATGACATCAGGCTTATTCAGTCCTTTTCAGGGGATGCTGGCAGTTCAATTTTCATTTTCGTATCCCTCCGTCTTCATGTCGTTCAGTCCGAGATCTTCGTTCTGCTCAAAGGTGCGGGTGTACTTCTCAATGGTGATGTCAGGGTCTGGGTCGGGGGCGTACACGTTCTGCATGTAGCTGTTCCCTGTGGGGTCGTCCAGGATGAAGTGGATGTTCATTTCTCCAGCTATTATTTTGTCAATCTTCTCCCCAAACGCTTGTAGCTTCTCAAACCGATCTGATGAGCTACTGTCGCCGCAGATGAAGGGGTTTTTGGAGACGATCAGATCTTTGATGTCTTTCAGCAGCCCCTCCAGGGTGGTGAACTTCCCCCCCACGGCCGCCATCCCCAGCTCAAACTCCAGCTCGGGGATGCTGAGGGAGCACGTCTCGGACTTGAGCACGTCTCGGGTCATGTCTGAGGGGTCGGTGACGTGCAGGGTGATCTTGGTGCCCATCGCCTCCGTGGCTCCACCTGATTTCACCTCGTTGGTCCTGTGGCTACAGCTGTCGCAGTTAGTGGCCATGATGATGACCTCCTTGAAGTGAGGGATCTCCACGATCTTCATGTTGGTCCTGGCTGGAGCGTTGCATTCAGGGCAGTTGGTGTTAAACCCGAGAACCTCATCTTTCATGGTTTCTATATCGTTACCGACTGGTTCTTCCTCCAGGTCATCATCAGCCCTCAACCCCAGCTGCATGTCCTGCTGCATCGTCCTGGTGAACTTTGTCACAGTGAGCGCCTCATCCCTCTGGGGGGCGCGTGGGTTTTCAATAAAGCTGTTTCCAGATGGATCCTCAATCACCAGAGTGAATTCGCTCTCCACTTCTTTTAACTTCTGCAGTTTCTGGATGAATTCCTCTATTTTGTCAGCCACCTCGGGGTAATTAGCTCGCCTGAGAGTTTGGTCCTGCTCCAGCCCTGCAGCTGCTCGGTCTATAAGACCCTCGATGGTGGTAAGAGCCCCTTTCTGGGTGAAGGGAGGGATTTCAAAGTCCAGATCTGGGATCCTGGTGGTGGCACCGTCAGATTTCACCACTTCCCTGTCCAGGTCCTGCTTTGTTTTGACTTTGAGGGTGTAGCAGACGCCCTGGTCCTGGATCCGGCCCGCAGACTGGATCTCGGTGTTCGACCAGCTGCAGTTGTCGCAGTTGAAAGAGCTCACGATGACTTCTTTAAAAAAGGGTATTTTGGTAAGCAGTAAACGTGTCATACCGTTTAAGTGGCAGTTCATACACATGCTCTCAATCTCCGTGATGTCGTCTCCGTCGGCGCTGATATCCCTGAACAGGTTCTCACCTCCGACACCTCGCACATTGTCCTCGGTAATAACAGACATGTTTAACGCTGAATATGTTTCCCTCGGGGTAGAAACTGTTTCCTCACGGTTACTCCCTCGTTCAGTTGTTTATCTTGTTGGAAGCTTCTAGATGACTCACACGCACGTTAGAAAGATTCAACAGACTCTTCCGCATTGTCTTCTTCTACGGTGGCGGTATCCATCTAGATCACTGCTGCCCCCTAAGGTTTTATACGGTACTGCACGTAGGGCAATCAAACAGGTGTTTACAACTATTTTAGCGATTCATATTATATCTTGCACTGCATAATGCCTTTAGTCTACATTTGAGATTTTTTTTAAATATACTGCGATCAAATCATGAATCAGTACAACCACAAAATGTCCATGTATTATTATTAATATTATCACTTGTATTATTATAATTTTTATTATTATGATTTTTATTATTTTAGTACACCAAATGTTAGGAACAGGACAAGAAAACAAATGTATTGCTTCATGTTCCTCCATATACAAGTTCATACATAAACACACATGTATGTACAATAATAATAAAAATGCACTTTCCTATTGGAGCTAATTTTTTTTGTTTTATTTGATTTTAATCTTTACAATTCCTACATATTTGAAATGTTAATTTGAACTTGCCTTTTAAAATGCAACATACACACATTTCTGTGTTTTTTTTTCTGAAGAATTTCAATGAATTTGTTTTACCTGAGTTGGGTTAGGATTTTTGTTTAAATTGTTTTAATTGGTACTGCTACTAGTTTCTTTCTTTTTACTCAGCCTGGAAAGTATTTGAATTGTCGGATTACTCAGTAACATTGACAAAATGTTACATAGCCTATTTACAGTATTTCACAAATTGTAGGTCTGTTGTTGCATTGTGAGTTTGTTTTCCTAACTCTACACCTGTGGTTATGATGTTTTTTATTCTTAATTGTTGTTGTAGGGGATGTGGATGGAAAATGAGAAGAAGTGGTTGCTTGTTACTTATTTTTCTCTTATTTCTGATCAATCTGTGTTAATAATTTCTGGCAACCTCAACATGTGGAACAACACGTATATTAACTTTCTAATTCAATGATAAATGTCATGATTTTCTGTATAAATGTCTGTTTCTGCAACAGATACCCATCCATTTTGAAAGGGAACAGCTCCCTGCCTCCAGAGGACCGTCTGCTGAAGTTTCTGGTCGACAACAATGCGGAATCTGAGGAGACGGTGCAGTGTGCCAACTGCGACCAGGAGAGTGACAAAAAGGTACAAAATGACGGACAGAACCACATTTTCTTTTAGGTGAAGGTCACTCAATAGTTGGCCTGCATTTTAAAACAAACGTTTGTCCGTCCAAAGTTTTAGTAACTTGATAACATCATCAATAAAAACCTTAAGTTTCAGGCTTGCAAGGCATACAAATAAAAAAAATAAAAACTAGTACGAAACACTGGCAATTTAAACACAGGCTGCTCTTTAATTCTTAATTAAAATTGTACACATGTTAAAACTAGTTTCTTTTTTTAATCAAATATTGCCTTGGGTTACTTTAAACAGAACACAAAGTATGCAAATTAAAAAGGACGTTAGCATCTCTCAACTTTTTTTGGGAATCATATTTGTTTCCACTTTTTTCTCTCCAAACAGGATGCAGAGATGATGTACTACTGTAACACCTGCAGCCAGCCACTTTGCAGCACCTGCAGGGAGTTGACTCACAAAGCCAAAATGTTTTCCCACCATGAGATTGTTTCCCTAGCCAAACGCTCCAGAGCCAAACACAGGAAGTGCTGTGAGTGCTACCTGTAAATCGTAGTTTCTATTCTGAAACCTCTTGTATTTGTATTGCACAAACATGCTCAGTGGAAAAAGAGAATATTGAATAGTCCTCACACTCTTGCAGGCTCATTTTAAAATAAGTCTTTGTCTCCACAGCTCTCCACGAGGAGACCTACATCCTGTTCTCTACAGAGAACAAGTCCATGCTCTGCATCAAGTGCTTCAGAGACATGCAAGTGTGAGTCACATTTCATAAGATCTTCTTTTCTTCCCTCCCATCTCTCTTCATTTATCTTCTATTCTCTTATCTTCTCCTCTAGTCTCTGTTTTTCATTAGATCGTTCCTATTTATTTCTTTATGGATTTACCACAATTAAGCACTTTATATAGTATTTGTGCATATGTTAAAATAAAAGGTTTTAAAAAGTAAAAAGAAACACATTTCTTGACATATCTTTTCTTATTCTCATCTTCTCTTTCCTTACTTTGTCTTCAATTCTCTCATCTCCTCTCTTCTCCTCACTTTTTTCCTCTCCCTTCATTGTATTTGATCTTCTGTCCTTTTCTTTTATATCCTCTTTTCTTCTCTTGCGTGGTGTCATGAGGGTTAAGGTTATATTTTCTTCTCTTCTGTTATGTTATCTTTGCTTCCCTTCCCCTCCTCTCTCTCCTCCACATTAAATGAGATGTTGTTTACCACAGGGAGAGCCGGACTCACTGCATTGATATTGAAACAGCGTACGTGCAGGGCTGTGAAATGTTGGACCAGGCTGTGCTGGTGAGAGTCCTGTATGTATGTCTGTCTGTCTGTACACCTGTCTGTACACCTGTCTGTACACCTGTCTGTACACCTGTCTGTTTGTCTGTCTGTCTATATGTACACCTGTCTGTCTGTCTGTCTGTCTGACTCTACACCTGTCTGTACACCTGTCTGTCTGTCCGTCTGTCTGTCTGTCTGTCTGTCTGTCTTTACACCTGTCTGTACACCTGTCTGTCTGTCTGTCTGTCTGTCTGTCTGTCTGTCTGTCTGTCTCTACACCTGTCTGTCTGTCTCTACACCTGTCTGTCTGTCTCTACACCTGTCTGTCTGTCTGTCTGTCTGTCTGTCTGTACACCTGTCTGTATGTCTGTCTGTACACCTGTCTGTACACCTGTCTGTCTGTCTGTCTTTACAACTGTCTGTACACCTGTCTGTCTGTCTGTCTGTCTGTCTGTCTGTCTGTACACCTGTCTGTCTGTCTGTCTGTACACCTGTCTGTATGTCTGTCTGTACACCTGTCTGTACACCTGTCTGTCTGTCTGTCTGTCTGTCTGTACACCTGTCTGTCTGTCTGTCTGTCTGTCTGGGGGGGGGGGGGGGGGGTTCAAAAACATCACTTTTTTACAAACACCTATAGGTCTTGCATATACAAAGCAATTAGAAGAGGGAAAGAAAGACACAAAGCATTAATATCATTTTGTTTTTACAAAGACTTTCATTGAGGTGACGCTTTTGCCCAAGTGACTTGCAATAAGTGCAATATTCGATTAAAAAACAAACTCGGAACAGCAAGAAACCGGCAAGATCATTCACTTTTAAAGCCTTTTAAGTGCTGGTGCATGTGTTGCAACCGTACAGTCTATGGTTGCAACTAAACTGTGTTAACCACAACTCCCAGAATGCAAATGGCCCTCAATTAAACCTAAATATCTGCTCAAAGCTTTGATCAGGGATTTTCTAGTGATGCTAGCTGTCCCAACAACACTAACTGAAGCTCAAAAGGAATAGCTTAAAATCAAGTTTAACCCCAGCACACTTTATGACAGTTTACACATATATGCATACTGTATACATAAACAAACACTTTAACATATCCACAAGTCTTTAATAGAAATATGTATATAAAAAATCCAATTTACATTCACTGTAATTAGCTTTTAATAGCCTCATCAATGCTTGCATGTTTCTATTAAAGTTTTGTTAAAGACTCAAATGTTTGCCAGTGCAGGAGCATACGTGTTTTCATTGAGTGACCCCCCTCCTCCGTCTGCAGGTGGTGAAGGAGCTGCAGACTTCAGCCAGAGAGGCCATCATTCTGCTGAGAGCCATGATAGGAGAAGTGTGTCTGAACGTGGAGGAAGAAGAGAGTGCAATCTGTTCTCTGTTCAACAGCTTACAGGTTATATAATCATCCTGGTGATAGATTTGATCAATTCTTTCTTTTCCCCCTAGTTACTTAATCAAGAGAGGAACTCCTGCAACCACATATTTATTTAAATGGACAATGTTGTGATACCAGGTCGAATCCTCGCTATGTTGCTTCAATCTGTTTATTTTTCCCTCATCAATTTACACTCAGTACCCCATAAAGGCAAAGTAAATATAGGATTCTACAAAATGTAATCTGGAGTCCAACAACTGACAGCCAGGGCAAAACCAAGCGATGAGGTTGAAGAATCAAAATGTCCATTTAAAAGAGGCACTGTTATGCTCTTTGGGGTTTTCCCTTTCCTGTAGTGTTATATAGGTTTTTGTGCATGTACATGGTCTGTAAAGGCTAACATACCAACGTTCCCTCCAGAGAGAGTTTCTCTCCCACAAATATGTTGTTATGTTATATTATATAATGTATACAGTATATTTTGGATCTTTATCTCAGAATCAGAGGCATCTGACTGCCTCTTGGTAAGCAAGGTTATTAGATTTAATTAGTTTATAAAGAGTACATGAACATTACAGATTTCTGAAGTCAAAGTTACAAATGAGATTCTAACCCTGTCTTACCTCAGTCAAATATGAATAAGCAGGAAGTTGCTCCATGTGAGTTCATTAACACAGCTTGGCCACTGGAGGTCTCTGTTAACCTATTTGTTAGATATTAGTGTCTTTTTTTCATATTGAACATTCAGAGAGTGCAGACACCATGGATTTTACACAATTTCCCCCTGCAATTTTGAAAATTCATTAAGTGTTAGAGAGCTCAAGGCCATTCTCACAGCAGTGTAAGTAATAAAAGGCTCTGTTTTCCTCATCTGACAGGAAAAACTGGCAGAGAGGAAGAAGATTCTCCTGAAAGCAGCTCAGAGGTAAAATAGAAATTCATAAAGATGAACAGTTCTTGTATGAAAGTGTTATATTGTTGCCTCAAAGCTTATTATAAGTGTGATCATATTTACCTAGGTGAATCCTGCTGTCAGTTTTTCTATTGTATCATGCTGCATTGTACTCAGGGGGACGAATAGCATGTTTCCTCCTTATCACATTTTCATATTTTAATATTTTAATATTAGAAATTCTTCATAAAGAAAGAAAAACCGTGAGAAGAATCATCTCGTTGTAATGGGCACAAATAATGTACATAAAACCAAAAATAATAACAAGATAAATGAAATAAAAGATGGATCAGTCATTCATAGATTATAGAAAAGTATAATTGCACAATTGATCAAGTTATGAAGCATCGTAATCCTTTAGACAGACACTTTCATCTCAACAAAGCATTGCACTGAATCAATCCACCTTAATATGAAACCATATTGTGCCTGGATCCAATCAATGAAGATGGGGCCAATTGAACATTATTTGTAAACAAGTCAACATTATGTATGTTTTTATAATCTTTCTCAAGCCCATAATGTCAACAACTTCTGACGGAAAACTTAGATGGGATTTCTTCCACTTTAAATACAAACCAAGCACGTTTAGCACCTCATTTCTGAAATGTGTGTTTGTTGCATCCGTCATTAGTGTTCCGTGAACATTAACAACACAATATATTGTCCTGAGAATAGGATCATAACTTGTTCTTCATTCATGGCAGCTTGCCACGATCTTACTTACTTTGCTTGCTCGTGCAGAAACCAAACTATTAAGTGATACCGATTAAGAAATGAGTTTGGATGATGACAGCCTCCCAAATCATTAATTAAGCATTAACTCCAGCCACTAACATAATTACAAATTTAACAACATCCCTACTGTGATCATTTAAGATTGATTTGATGGCAGCCTAGGTTTGCAACTAATTAGTCTCTAAAATCTAATTATTGCACATCAGTCACTTTTTATGTAGGATTAATGATATAGCACTAAAATATAGTGTATAAAATCTGAATGAGTGTTATATCTGAGCACTTTTTCTATTTGAGCGCCCGCTCCATGCGTACGTTTGTGATTGAACGAGAACAGTGTTGTGCACGTGAGTGTGTAACTGCTTGCGCTCTGTGGGGATCTTTAATGAGATTTTTCGTGCCCTCCATCTCTCTTTCTCTCTCGTCTGCCTGGAAGCCGTCCAGCGGCTGGGTTCCCGGAAGAGTGTTAGAGGCTATTTATGTCTGTGGGTCTACTCTGTGCATGTGTGTGTTTGTTACACAGAGAGAAGACAGATAGATTAGCGTCTGAAAATATGGAGTATGTTGTGTGTGTGGTTGCAGATCCTGAGCTGGGTCCTCTGAGTGTTTCAGCATGTGGAGGTGTTGTGTTACATGTGTGTATGTTTGTGTGTGTTGCAGTCAGCACGAGGAGAAGGAGAAAGCACTAAAGGAGCAGCTCTCACACCTTACTGCCCTCCTGCCAACCCTGCAGGTAGAGCAAAACAATGGCATGATCAATCTGAGGGGTCACATGTGATTAATGCATTAGGGAAGAAGAAAAAACAAAGTCCTGATACACACAGGATTGTGTTTAGCTTTTGGACTTTTCTTTAACTTGATTTATAATTGATATCCATAGTATCTCCTTACCTTTGCGCCTGGAACAGGTCTTCAATTTAACCATTTATGAAGTTTATCGGGGAAATCGCTCATGACATGGAGCCAAACCAGACACGTTTTTCTGTAAAGACTCACAAGTCAAAATGATGCTTTCATCTTAAAGGTGGGGTAGGTAATTCACTTCAGAAACACTTTTTGTTATATTCCATGGAATGCTCTTAACATCCCGATAGCAATGAATATATTAAATGCTTTGACAATAAATACATAAAAAAGTGTCATCTGTGGAAGCCGTAGCGCTGTAAAAAGCACGACCAATCATCTGAGCCGGCCCGGCTAAAATAACTGGATGGCCTACCTGCCTGTCAGCCTTCCATCTGTGCACAAACTTATCTCGTGCCCTCATTGGTCATGTGCGCGTTCGTGTGTGTTGGAGGAGGGGCTCTGTAAGGAAGTGGCAGATTTTTTCTGGTTGTGTATTTTCAAATCCTAGCGCACTCGAGCTGGTTTCTCCAAAATTACCTACCCCACCTTTAAGTCATTTGTTTTCTTTTTCATCAACTAATCAATCAAATTGTATTTATATAGCACTTTTCATACAATCAAGGTGACACTTATGGCGCATTTCCACTACAGCGCGGAGCTCGCTTTAAGCGTGCCATGCCCGGCCCGTTTGTTGTTTTGGTTGCGTTTCCACTTGGCGTAGTACCGGCTAGCGGGTACTCTTTCACAGTTTTTCTGGCCCCATAAAATCGAGGTTCTTTCCGGGCCAACAACGAGGCTGAGTCGGGCTGAGTATGCTAAACTAGAGAGAGAATCGCTGGCAAGGGGGCTACAACTACAACAAGATGAACATATTTGACCGTGATTTAATTGTAATACACGTTTCAAAATGATGCCGAAGTAACAACATACTGATACCGGTTAGTAAAAACCATGAATTAATGCTTTGACAAGTCTGCAGACAGACGGCAGGCGAAAAACCTTTTAAAATGCGTGTTTTTCTAGATGGAGATTGGCTAAGCTAACGCAGTATATGCTCCGACCGTCCACACTCACAACAACGGCCTATACAGACATAAATAAACCAGCGACTGTATTCACCATGACACAGGCAGTCTGTGGTTTGTACTTGTTTAACTTTTGTCTAGTTTCTGAACATATATGAGGAGCTGTGAGCTCTGAGTGCTAACAGCTAACGGCTGTGTTGTTTTTCTGTGGATCTCATTGAAGATGACGTCACGGCTCCGCCTACACTGCGTTACTATAGTTACTGCCCCAGCTACTAAACTGTAATGGAAACGCAGCATAAAGTGAGCCACCGGCTCGAGATACACTTTTTGTTATATTCCATGGAATGCTCTTAACATCCCGATAGCAATGAATATCTTAAGTGCTTTGACAATAAATCCATAAAAAAATGTCATCTGTGGAAGCCGTAGTACTGTAAAAAGCACGACCAATCATTTTAGCCGGCCCGGCTAAAATAACTGGATGGCCTACCTGCCTGTCAGCCTTCCATCTGTGCACAAACTTATCTCGTGCCCTCATTGGTCATGTGCGCGTTCGTGTGTGTTGTAGGAGGGGCTCTGTAAGGAAGTGGCAGATTTTTTCCGGTTGTGTATTTTCAAATTCTAGCGCACTCGAGCTGGTTTCTCCAAAATTACCTACCCCACCTTTAAAACCAATAGAAGTCAACAAATGCATGGCTGAATAAAACAAAAATGTATTGAATTACTAAATCAATCAATAAAAGACTAAATGAATAAATAATTATAATACAAATATAATAAGAATCAGAGAAACATAAATTTTCTTTATAAATACATATCAATTCAAGCTTTTTGCACTTAACCCTTCAGGTTCAGGTGTTTTATTTGTACACATAGGTAGATTTTGTTAGCTGTTAAAAGACTGCCATCCATTGTGACACATTTTAGAAAACAACTCAAACAGGCAAGTCTTAATAAAAAAAAAAAGGCTAAATCTTTACCCTATGCTTTCAATTTTACATTTATTCTGAAAAGTAACTGCAGTTTCTAATTCTAGTATTAAAGTACAAGGGAAATTAAGCATGAAATAAAATGGCTCAAGTGACGTACAAGTAGGTTAAAATTGTACTTGAGCAAAATATATACGTTCTTCCGACCTGTTATGAATGTGCTATGAATAGGTTGGTTCTGACCTTCTTAAGTGTGCAGTTAGTTTTGGGATCCGTCTAATACCATTTCATCTCAGTGTCAGTCTGCTGGTGTCTCATATTGCATGCAGCTTGTTTGAAACGCAACCTTTAATCTCAGTTTTTTTGTTTTTGTTTCAGGTGCACCTCGTCACCTGCTCGGCTTTCCTCAGCTCAGCCAACAAGTTTGAATTTCTGGACATGGGCTACGTGAGTGCAGACACATAAACTATGTATGGATATGTGTAGCATTTCATGATAATGTTGATCAAATATGAATATAGAGTCGCAGTGATGCAATACAAGACATATGTTGGCAAGAAAGAGAAGCGGGAGAGGTAGGAGTGAATACCAAAAAAAAGGAATACAAAAATGAATGTTTGTCACATTATCAGTGTTTCTGAAACCCTTACAAAGAGCTTAATCTTTATACTAAGGACACTTTCTTGGCAAAAGACACACTGCTGTATGAGCTGGCATTGCTCTTTAAATGGAGGCTGTCCATAATGTCCGGATGTTCTTGCTTACACAGCAACTCATGGAGAGGCTGAAGCGGATTGTAAAGCTCCCTCATCGACTGAGACCGGTGCAGAGCAGCAAAGTGAGTAAGGAGCTGCCCTAACGCACAGATGGAAAAGGTTACGTTCAGAATGTGCTCCGCTGCAGTGTGCTGATTAGTTGTTGCACTTGTTCCCAATGCACTTTAATATTTTTTTCTCCTCCGTGGCCCTAGAGCACAGAACACATTTTTTTCTTATAAGAAAATTGAGTTTCAGTGCCTTCTAAGAATATTATTATATCATTGATATACAGTGATATCAGTATGCACCGATATGCACTTTGGGTTAGATGGTAATTACATTTCATCCGCTTGTGCCTGCACTCCGCACAATGACAATAACGTTCAATTATTATTTTTTCTAATCTAATGGAAGCTTTAGTCATTTAAATATTTATTTATCTAGGGACGAGACACATTAGTCAACATTAATGTGATTTACATATGCCCAGATTTAGCCAATAGGCTCATGTTCATCTACAGTTAAACCCAATATAGAATATACACATAGAACGGCAGATGCATCAGAACTTTACCATAACTAAACATCTCTAATGACCACAAAATGTTTAAAGAAAAATACAGTTTTCAATTATTAAGTATCATTTCTGGATGTTTCATGTTTATATGGTTCATAATGTTAAAGGGGCCCTATCTTGCTTTTTGGGCTTTTCCCTTTCCTGTATTGTGTGATATAGGTTTTTATGCAAGTAAATGGTGTGCAAAGGGTTAGGGTTAGGGTAGGATCTGCAAAGGCTAAAATCCCAAAGTTCCCCCAGAGGGAGTTTCTCTCCCACACAGTCCACAAGTGTAACGTAGTGATGTCATTATGTTACGGCAGTAAAAAAGGATTTTAAGGCACAGGGGCTGCCTGAAATGCCTCCATTGGACTCCATCGTTTACTTCCATAAAATAGTGACATCACTCTGTAACACTGGGGCTCCTATTGGCTAGTGCTCCAACACATGACATACGTGATAGGCTAAGTGGCGGGACATCTCTAAGTGGTTAGCCAATCACAACAGAGCTGGCCAGCTAACCACTCAGAGCAGACTGGGCTCTGGTTTCAGACAGAGGGTGAAAAGAGGTGCAGCAGCACAGGCAGTATGAGAAATATAAAGACCTTTTTGAAACATTAAAGCATGAAGACATGTCACAGTAGAGACACGAAATACAAAATGAGCAGAACAGGACCCCTTTTACAGATACGCACATCATATTATAAGGTAATGGGCATGATAGTGTCCTTTTCTTTTTGATAATGATAGTGAGATTCATTATCTTAACCAATATTTTGTAGGGCTGTCTGCAGGAATAGTCATTTTTCTGCCAACTCTGGATTGTAATTGCCTTTTATTCCGGCCTTCTTTTATTTTATTTGTTTTACTTATTTATTTTTGGCCCAGTTAGGAGTGTTTTCCTTTCAGTTTTTCATTGACACCTAAAGAATAATATGGCAGAAAAGAGGTTCCCTTGTCCCACACCTCTAAGTGACTTTTTATATGTGTCCCTTAGATCAACACAGACTACAGGATTGAGTTTGCCCGCTGCCTGGAGCCCTTATTGCTGCTGGGTCAGCGCTGCCCTCCCTCTGTTTCCGGATCTATAAGTGTCGCAGCAAGGTGAGATCATGTACCTGCTGACACATACCATTTCAATGTAATCCCTAAAAAAAACCTCTGAGGTTGTGCTTTACAACGTGCTTAAACTGCCTGAATTTGACCGTGGCATTGTTTGGATTCTTCCAAGAAAGCATAACGTCTGTGCAGAAAATGTCACACTTGTGAAGAATGCAAACAGAAAATCCATGATTGGTTTGCTCGTACAGATGGTAGACAGTGATGACTGCAGTGAGAGGAGAGGAGGCGCCATGCTGAGTCTCACTATGGCAGTTATTCTGTCTATCTGTAAGCTCTGTGCACTGATATGTTTACGCAACTCACCTTGTTGCATAGTTGGGAAGGCGGCAGTAAATCCGGATTTAGAAAGAGACAGTTTTGCTGCAGCCAGGCCACAAGCACAGCAGATACCATGATAAAGGTGGAAGAAAGTCATGTGGTGCAGTACCTGGAAGGAGATGTTTTCATTTGTTGATGTTTTTGAAGCAGTGGTGGAAGAAGTACTCAGATTGTTATCTTAAAGGGACCCTTTATTACTTTCCTGTGCAAATGCTTCAATCCAAATGTTTCTCGGCCACACACTCCAGCCCTGCCATTGGACTCCTTTGGTTTCTTCTGAGACATAATGACATCACTACGTAACACTAGTGCTTCCTTCTATATTTTATTCTAACCAATCAGAGCAGACTGGTGCTGATGAAACCTGAAAATGTGCAGAATAAGGCCTCTTTAAGTAAACTAAGTAACACCACAATGTAGAAATATGTTGTTACAAGTTAAAAGCAATGCATTCTAAATTAAAATGTTAAAGTACATGAGTATTTGCATCAATATATACTTAAAGTACCAAATGTAAAAATACTCGTTATGCGTTATGGATCATTTCAGAATTATATATTGGATTAATTAATAATGATTATTGATGCTAATGTGTCTAGCATGGCTGGTAAGAAAGTGCAACATCGTGATATACTGCTGCTGGTTATCTTAACCTATAACTATCTTAATTTGTATTTATTAGATAATTACATTCTTTTAACTACGGATTACTCTTAATAATCAGTGGAGTAAAAAGTACAATATTGGCGTTTAAAAATGTAATGGAGTAGAAGCAAAGAGTAGTATAAATAAAAATACTTAGTACAACAACCTCAACATTTTACTTCAATACAGTAATTACAGTTATACAGTAAGTCACTACATTCCTCCATGCTTAAAAATCAAGTGATACATTAAATGTAATCGCTAAAAACCTAAGCAATCTGACAATGACACAAAGTATTTTCACTTGTAGATTGCTTGTCCATTAATCACCCGCCATTAGAGCTTCTCAGAACAAACATGTTTGTTCTTTTTCTTCTGCTGCACGTCCCTTCACCTCACATACTCACACTCCCCTGACCGATTTCATTTCCACATCAGTGTCCCCCAACTGTTCACAGGTCCTTAAGCCCACCCACTAATGCCAGCATTCTGACAACCCTCCTCTCCAACTTGCCTAGCGCTCTGCCAGTGCAGAGCAGAGTGGGCCGGGACAGGAGGCCGGCCGGCTGGCACTATTTTTATCGTTATTTCACAGAACTCTCCAGGATTCATCTGGAAGTTGGCATGCAGGAGCCACCGGGACGCTTTGTTCCCGGCCGCTGATGTCACAGCTTTAGCGAGTCTTTAGTTGGCGTCAGTGATGGGTTAGGGTTAGACGTGCAGAGGATGACATGTGTGTGGCAGAGGGGAGAGATCCATGCTTTAGCCTGTTGCATCAACACGGGGCAAGAAGGAGCGAGTGGGAGCCTACCAGAGCCCAGGTAATCTAAATCTATTCATGCATTTTAAGTCATTGTTGATAGGGCTGCAAGATCTGGAAAAAAATAACTAATTGTGTTTAATTTGACTGCTAGAGCAAGTGCGATATGATTTGCAAAATTACATTATCATTTTGAAATATAATTGTTTAATTATAGATGCCATGGTGGGGGTTTTTGTAACAGGATCTGTACCAAACAAGGATTTTCATTAAGTCGGTATCTATGCAGCACCACAATAATTCATTCAGAATATTTTCACATATTTTGCCTTATCAAATATTGTCCTTACTGTGATTTAGATATTGCACTAAAATAAAATAAATACATGCAATTTCGATTTATTTTGCAGCCCTAATTGCAGTTTATTCTCTGTATAGTAGGGGGTACAGTGTCTGTGACGTGTGCCTTGACGTGCAGTGTGAACTCCCTAATAAATATGTCTTTTTTATTTGACTTTCTTGAACATTTATGGAAGATCAGGTTAACACAAATGTGTTTTGCAGACTGGATAGAGTGGTGAGCCATTCGCTGTTTTTTTACTTTTTTCTCAGTGTCTTTTGATGCTGTTGACAGTGTAAGATAATAGGGATGGGAACGATTAATCGAATATTCGAAATTATTCAGGTATTTGAATATGAGAATATGAGTTATGAATATTTTTATTTATTTATTTATTTTTGGGTGGGGTGCCTAAGTTCATTACATATGATCAAATGGAATAATTCAATGTATACGACAGTGCCATAACTAAGTGTGTTAGGTCTAAAGGTGTGTTTTTCTCCGCTCACCGGCCCCTCACAGCGGGCAGAGCTGCAGGTGCTGATCTCTCTCTCTCTCGCGTCCGGTTATACTTCACTCGCGTTTATGTCCAAATCCATCAGATCTAGCTAGTTCTAGCTAATGATATGGCTGCTGCCCCTCCCTACACGCAGATCACGCAGATCACACAGATCACGCAGATCACGCAGATCACGCAGATCACTCAGATTCACTCAGATCACGCAGACTCAAACCTCATCTTATGCCCAAATTCCAGCTGAGAGGGTCTTCTCTACAGCTGGCCTGATTGTGAATCATCTCCACACCCGCCTCTCCCCTGAGCATGTAGACATGCTCATATTCTTAAACAAGAATAAGTATTGAATAGCTGCATTCTGTGCATAGGCCCTGTTATAGGTTGTTGATCTCTGTTGTAATAGGGTTACGTTACCCTAACCCGTTATGTTGTTCGTGTATGATCCCTCTTTCATTTAAAAACCAAGTTATGTTTTAAGCATGAAAGCTGTAGGCCTATAGCTGTCAACTGTTCAAACTGTGATCACCAGTTCAATACATTTGACAAATTCGACTTGGTTTCTACACTTATTTGAACATGTATTTATTTATCTTTCTAAATTAATTAATTTTTATTTTTTTGTCAACATTTTTCCCACATTTTTTTTTTTATAGGATATGTACATTTCGGTTAATTGGGTAGACGTTGTTTTGGGGGTTGAATATTCGAATATACATTTGCTTTCAAATTCCCATCCCATAAGATAACAGTCGTTACACAAGGTGCTCAACTCCACAGTACTTCAGTTCACAGACGGAGGAGGAAATGAGCCTTTTCTCTCCGTATGGTTACTCAGAAAGCCGCCCACACCGTGAAGCCTGTTGCTCTGAATGTGTGTGTCTGATACTTCTTCAAATGGCTGTCTGAAAACTTGTTCCTGCACTTGTGAGCAGCTAACGCAGGATGCAAAGCGGGCAGGGGATGGTGAACGGCCAGCTGGCTCGGCCCATTTGTTCTAAAATCACAGAACAGAAGTAAAGTTTTACTGCCATTTTCTTTCATACACCCGATGCTGCTGCTTTAGTGCTGCCAACGTCTCTAATTGGCTGTGTGGGGACACAGGCTGCATGCTCTGGGGACAACTTTCATACAGCAATTTGAGGGAATGTATTCACACCTAGGCGTCTGCAGAATGGCTTCAGGGCAGTTATGCTGCGCTAGGCATGAAGCCAAGACTACGCTCATACCAGCAGAAATGTATGTTTGTGTAGTTGTTTGGATTTCAGCCAAACATACATATTTTCATAGTCCTGGCAAAAGTGAAGAGGTGTTACTGTTGTGAGTGCCAATAAGCGTTCTGATGTACTTCAGACACTTTTTAGCAGGTATTTATGATCAAGGAAGAATTAGGTTATGGAAAAGCAAACATAGCCAGACAATGCACAAGGACAAATACATAACCAGATTAACAAAAGAGCATGTGAATAAATAGATTCAACTGTTTGTCCTGAACATGCTTTTTTTGGTTACTTTTAAACATGGGTGTATACAAAAAGGAAGTCAGCAGACCACCAGGAGTTGTAGCTTTATCCAACATGTTTCAACAAAGTTGCATTTATACATAAAAAAGAAACTTGGAGAATTTAGAAATAAATGTCAAACAACTCAAATTCAATGAGTTAAATATTGATTTTGTTGAAATTAAGAGTTGGTGCAAGCATTTGACCTAATTAGCCACACTTGAGTGAAGCTCTTAGCGGGAGCTGTTCAGCAGCACGAGTGGCTGTACTACAGAAACAACTATTTGGATGTTTTTTAAAGTAGAGAAAGACATATATATATTTATAATTTCTTAGTAAAATACAAAGTAAATGTAGTGTGGGTTTTATGTGTTTTTTAGCACAGGACAGATATAGTGAATGATAGAGGGAAGTGAGCATGCTTAATGGAAATTCTGGGTGTTTTGCATTAAATATGCACATAATTTTCAAACTGATTTCTTAGATGGCAAGATCTTATGGCCAATAACTGGTAATAATACAAAATAGGATCAGACCTGACTGTTACCAGCAATACAATTGTATGGATGCATTACATTTTGGAGTTCAATCTTTTTAATATTAGGCTTTATTCCTACTTTAGAATATTAAAACGTGGGTAGCTACATCATCATGTTATGAAAGTAGCAATCATGATTATTTCCCCCCCCCCCCTCTCAGGCACCAGTCTCCCCTCTCCGTGTGCTGCCACTCCCCGTCCCTCAGTGAGATGCCGCTGGGCTCGGTGTGCGGGCGGAGGCCCACCTGTCACCGCAACATCTGCACCAAGGTGCTGCTGGCGGAGGGGAGGGAGACCCCCTTCACCGAGCACTGCCGCAACTATGAGAACACGTACAGGGTGAGTGCTGTGTGTGACCATTTCTGACTAACTGATGTGTTTAACCTGCTTAGCAACAGCAGCTGTGTGAGGCTGTACTTGGACATAGTTTCGCTTTTAGCTAAATTACATATGATCAATATGCTAACATGCTTATGTTTACCAGTTATGACATTTACCACGTTATCTGACTGTTATAAGCTCAGTTGTGGCTGATAGGAAAGTTAATTAGCAAGAATTTGGTCATAAATTAAGAAATTGATGAAAAGTTTGTACCACATGTCAAGGTAATTACAGAAAGTGAATACCATTTAAATGCCAAAATGTATATATATATATATATATCTTGTTTCCCTGTTGTTAAAGGGTCAATATCTAATAGAAAATACAGTGATATATATCCTGAAATAAGTTACATTAGCTCTTAAGGTAGGGTAGGTAAGAATGTAGAAACCAGCTTGAGTGCGCTAGAATTTGAAAGTACACCACCGGAGAAAATCTGCCCCTTCCTTCAGATTTCTTTACAGAGCCCCTCCTCCAACACACACGAACGCGCACGTGACCAATGAGGGCACGAGATAAGTTTGTGCACGAGATGGAAGGCTGACAGGCAGGTCGGCCATCCAGTTATTTGCCCCGGGCCGCGGGGCAGATGATTGGCCGTGCTTTTTACAGCACCACGGCTTCCACAGATGAAATTTCTTTATGTATTTATTGTCAAAGCATTTAATATATTCATTGCTATCAGGATGTTAAGAGCATTCCATGGAATATAACAAAAAGTGTTTCTGAAGTGAATTACCTACCCTACCTTTAAGGAAGGAAAGTTATTGGATCAGTTTGTTTTTATGTCAGCCAAATTAGATGGCAGAAACAACCAATTTTCAGGAAAGGATGTATCGTGGGTTAACCTATTAAAATGAGAGCGGACCTGAATCAGGGGGCAGATACACAGATTATTTTGTATGCTTTAAACGTTGAAATACAGTATAGTTGCTTTATACATCTCCTGTATTTGGTTCTACACTGGTTCAAACGGCTGCAGCAACTTCTCTTCCTGGGATGATCCTCTGATCCTCAAGTAAAACAATCTAGAAGCAGCACATGAACCCCTCTGGGAGAAACAAGGTTTTCATGCTCAGATGCACTTCACCTGGCATCTGTACACTATCAGATATACTGCTTTAAAGACTTTAAAGAACCTCCTGAGTGTCATTTCCTATGTCCTGTATGTGTTTGTGTGTTTGAAGACTCTCCAGACAGAGATTCAGAATCTGAAGGACCAGGTCCAGGAGCTGCACCGGGATCTGACCAAGCACCACTCCATCATCAACACGGAGAAGATGGGAGAGATCATGGAGAGATCGCTGAACATCGACAGTCAGATAGCTTCACAGCACTCCACCGTGGAAACTATGAGAGTCATGTTCGAGGAGGTGGGTCAATCAGAATCACAATCGTTATGGTCATTATACTCAGGTACAACGGAAATGTGCAGGCTTTTCTCGAATCAGTTAAAACAGAAACAAATAAATAAAAGCAGTGATGAAAGCAGTAGTATAAACAGTTATAGCAGCAAAGAGTAGAATACAAAAGGATCAAATATTGTCCTTTAACCCCTTTTTAAATGTAGATGACAGCTTTAGTTACCTTGAACGTCTATATTACTGATAACCGGTATTATCAACTAATCAGTTATCATGTACTTTAATGGATTAAGATACCAGGAAGTATAACAAGTGATTCAATTTAGCTTCTTCTTTACCAGCTGCAAAATGTAAATTATTTTCACATTAACGGATCACTAATTATGAACCAGTGATATAATACATATTGTGACAATGATCATTTTGCATAATTAGTACTTTAATTGTAATTTGAATCTAATACTTGAATGCATGAGTTTAACTGAGTGTTTCTACACTGCCAGGAAGTTCTGACCAACAAAGGTTCCTACATTTGTCCTCCACCAGTACCTCTAGCTGCATACTAACAACATAGTTTTCACCCATTTGTATTCATTTAGTCTGCTAGGAATGCAGACGGAGGGAAAATAAATGTCAAGGTATCCCTCGAGTCTAATGACGGTGTGGTATTTCATGATCATTAACTTTTTCCCTCTCCATTCAGATCTGGGAGGAGACTTTCCAGAGGGTCACTAATGAGCAGGAGATCTACGAAGGTATGTCTTCAAAACGAACATATTATCAGTCAAACGTTTACATCTATCACGTTGTATATTTTTGATGTTCTTGTTTTATTCCATTTCCTTCATCTGCATGTTCCAGCCCAGCTGCATGACCTGTTGCAGCTGAAGCAGGAGAACTCATACCTCACCACCATCACCAGACAGATCAGCCCCTACATCCTCTCCATTGCCAAGGTCAAAGAGAGACTGGAGCCCAGGTGTTGTATTAAAGGATATATTACCCCTATATTGTCCATCTGCTGCCATATTGGCTGACTGAAGACAGTGATTGGAAGAAAATGGAAGCCCTTGTTATGATATAAAGTACCACTGCAGGTAGCATGGGTATGTATTGACATTGATAAGAGAGTGACAGCAAGAAATACTGCATGTACAAATTGAAAAGTAAACAAGTCAGTGCTGCTTTTTTTCACTATTAAAGCAGTTTTGTATTTTCGCTTTTTAAATGACATTCGATTCAATTGGAGTTAGACATGTATGATAAGGCTTAGTAATTTGTAATAAAAATGCCGCATTATGAGGTAAAATTGTAATTATCAGTGATTCCGATAATAGTCTTTATTCCTTGACAAACAACAACCATTTTTTCAGATTTCTTTCTTAAATGTACCACTCGAATGGAGATTACAACTGAATTATATCTCAGAAATTCAGATTTCAGAGATATATTCTCCAGGCTGCAAGCTACATTATCTGCCGTTGTATAAAAGGACACAATATAAAAGGACAAAACCAATATTTTTTATTTTTTTATTTTAAACACGTTCTCTCTTTGTATCTCATACCTCTGTGTCAAAAAGCTCCACTGTTGTCCAAAAACTGTTAAAATAAACATCAGTGAGGCACACTGTGTCCCTAGTAGACATGCTCCTTCATTACCTTGAACACACACACTGTCCTTTATCTCAACTCAATTCCAAAATCCATTTTTCTTTGCTGTCATAAATCACTGGACCTTCACATTTCCATTAATCTGCAGCTGAACATTTTCCCAAATAAATGCACTTAACTCCTGTTTGCATTATGTTTGCTTAAAATGACCCGAAGTTTACATAACAATTAAGAAATTGACTTGGAGCTAAATGCCACAGAGTTTAAAGCTGGTTTTCTTCTTTGTGTGTGAATATTCCTAAATGTATTGTCTAGGTTTCAGGAGGCTAAAGAGCAGCAGGACGACCGCACAGAAACTATGCTGAAAATCTATGAAGACAACACAATCGCCAAAGACAGTCAAGAAAGGTACTGGCATACACTGCTCTATATGTAAATGAAATAGACATTTTCCGCCATAGAAACAAGTACGTTCATAAGCCATCATCACTGAGCATAACATATGTTGTTTGTTTTATGATGTGGTAAACATCTCAAAACTGTATGTGATGATTTAAGGGCCACACAATGTGCCTACTATCAGCAGATTTCCCTGGCTGTGTTTTAATAAAACATCTGAGTTATGCATTGTGGAGGGAAGTTCTTTGTGATGGATTTTATGTGCAGAACTCAAACATAAAGTAGTTTGTTTTGTGATTAATGTTCTAAAATGGCAGGCCTGTTGCACCACTCGATCGTATATTTGGTACCTTACAAATCCGACAAAAAACTAAATGTGTGATAAAGAACAGCTCAGATGTCCCATTTGATTACAGGTTTAGCAGAGGGAGTATAGGGGTATGTAACCAATATATCAGCATGTATTAAAGAGGCCCTATTAAGCTGTGTGGGGATTCCCTTTCCTCTAGTGTGTTATATAGGTTTGTGTGCATGAGTTTCTCTCCCACACACTCCAGGCTTCCGTAAGGCAAGGCTAGTTTATTTATATAGCACCTTTCAACACAAGGCAATTCAAAGTGCTTTACAAAAATGAAAGACATTAAGAAAATGGCATTTAAAATCAGTCATTAAAAAGAAAAGATAATAAAATAAACATTAAAAGAAAAAATACATGGATAAAAGTTACAGTGCAGTTTAAGATGTGAATAGTTCAATTAAAACACTTCCGTAACATTGTGACATCACTACATAACACTTGTGCTTCTATTGGCTAGCGCTCTAACACATTGTACATGTAGGCTAAGCATTGGGACATCTCTAATCACAACAGAAGCGTTAACCAATCAGAGCAGACTGGGCTCTGGTTTCAGACAGAGGGTGAAAAGAGGTGCTACAGCACAGGCAGTAAGAGAAAAATAATACCTTTTTGAACATTAAAGCATGGAGACATGTCACAGTAGAGACACAAAATATACAAATATGAACTGGAAAATCAGCATAACATTACTTATTACTGCCGATTTTTTTTTTTATTCCATATTTTATTCCTTTTTATTCCATTCCATTGCAATGTAAATACTGTTATATTTATATTTTACTATACTTTTTATTATTTTAAATATTTTTTTTTGTTCTATTTAGTACAGACAAAAGATACAAATAAAAGACACAACATTATGATGAGATGACAACACCAGAGGCCTGTACTACGAAGCTGGATTTTCGCTTAGCCGGCTAACTTCAGGGAAATCTCGGGCTTTCCGGTCCTACGACGCTGGTTCTCTTTTTAGCAGGCTAGATTTCCATGGTAACTTATGCTGAGCGGCAAACCTGCTCCGGAGCAGGTTAGGTGGCAGGCTAGGAGATCAACTCAGTGAAAGCACCGCCTGCTGACCAATCAGAGCTCCGTGTGCGGAGTTTAAAGCGATCAATTTACAGGATAGAGGAAATACAGAAAAACTGCCGTTGCAGGAAAGACGGCCGGCCAAAATCAACTGACTGTGTGAACGTGAAAATTAATAGAATATCCCCTCCCATCTTCAGAGCAATCTGACTATTATAATATTAGCGTTAAGAAAGCTTACTTAAATATCTGCCACGACATAAGTAACCGGATCAGAGTAACATTAAGTACAGTCCGCGGCACTGTGAGTGCAGACGTCGATGTGTCCCATTATCATTCATATCACATCATAATGTATCATATATTTCCTTATTTGAGTCAGCTTCTTGAGCCGTATCTGGCCGTGCAACACTCACAGTGTCACATACTGTATGCAGAAGTATTATTTTAAGCAACACATTAAGTTGACGAAACACTCGAGTCAAATGTAATTAAAGTCAGATCCACTCGTGTCTTGGACGGGCAGTGATTTCATAAACCTGTTAATGTACGCATTCAAACACTTTTTCTTTTACCAGCTGTATTCACCTTGCAGGTGCAGCTATGTGGCTTTTATCCTGGATAAAGTGTTTAAGTCATGGATGTTTAAAGTTTAACTTCTTCATATTTGACTAATATTAAAGTTCACTTTTCATTCAGGAAGTATGACGCTGCGCTGTCAGTACGCTTGTCCGTGTTTGAGATTGGTCGAATGCTCCAAATACCACCCCTTTCATGTGAACGCGCACCTAACTAGATAGGACACGGCTGGCTTGAGCGATCCACTTGATAACCAGCGTCGTAGTACAGTTTAGCGAGAGCGCGTATGTTTTGGATTGGGCCAACCGGCTAACTCAAACATATCCAGGTTAGGTTGAACCAGCTTCGTAGTACAGGCCTCAGCTCACACAAATAATAAATAATAAGGGCAACATCATAATATGATATCAAATGAAAAAACTGAGTTGACAGGATCCTTATTAAAGTTCAAATAACTATGTCTACAAACCGATACACCCTACAATTAAAAGCACACAAATGACTTGCCTATTATTTATACATCTATGTTCTTGTATTGGATTTGGGAGTGAAGCAGCTCATTTATTCTTTCTTGACAGTGACAGCCAGAGTTGTGTCACAGATCAAGACAGACACAAGAACAGCCGTCCGCTGATGCTGGAGTCGGGGGAGAGCTCTGTAAAGACCAATCGCTCCGGCAGGCCGAGGGTTCCCGTGGAGACGTCCATCCACAACGAAAAGCCTTCATAAACACCGTGACATTTCTGCCCCCCTCTCTCCCGCCCCCCGCCCCTGCTCCTGTCCAGCAATGTGCCTTAATTCAGACATAACAAGCTCGGGACAGGATGTCACTTCCTATGCTGTCTGCATAACATTCTCTCAGCAGTGGGAGGAAAGACCCTACCCAGAGGTACATAATGAACATGGGACTGGAAGACTAAAATAGACAAACATCATGAAGAATTTTTTTTGTGATATTCAAGAGCCATGGAGGGCTCAAAAAGTGAATAGAGTGATGCAGGGATGATGTATTTTTTTCTAGGCCAACCTGGAAGTTAGCATGTTAGCAAGTGCTCCCTCTAGCAGCAACAGGATTTTTCCATATAAAATAAGCTCTGTAGCAAACACAAGTATATGAGAAATACACATTTTGTTCAGCAGGATAATCCCCACATATTAACAACACTTTTATAATTGATGTAGAGAGTAAATGCAATCGCCAGGAATAAGCTAACGTTAGGCTATAGAGAGGCGAAGTCCCTCCCCTTCCGGTGGGACTCATGGGACCTTATTTCGGAAAAAGTTTGTATTGAAGTCAATGGAGAGAGAAAGATTATCTTTCGATCCCGTTTGAATTGTGCCACGAATTACACATATGATGTTTGTCAATCTTAAATAATAATTTCCATGTCAAAAAAGTCACAGTTTGTCGTAAAACTGTTGAAATATAAGACTATGAAAAATATGCAACTAGAAAGACTACAAATCCCAGAATCCCGGTCCTGCATGCTGGCTCTTACGGAACCGACTAACTCCCCTTGTGTGCATGTACAGCTCTCAACATGCCCAGACTTGGAGTGATTTTCACCTCTTTTAATACTTTTCGCCTCATTCTGAAAGAAAGAAGTGAAATGTGCCAACGTGACGGCCGTCTTGGTGTGTGGTGCGAGACGGGAGATGTAGTTCATTGAGCGGTTTCACACAAAAAAAGTGTTACTTCACAGTTTTTTTTTTTTTGACTTGCAAAATTATCTTTTCAATTGACAAACATCATATGTGTAATTCGTGGCACAATTCAAACGGGATCGAAAGATAATCTTTCTCTCTCCATTGACTTCAATGCATAACTTTTCCGAAATAAGGTCCCATGGAGCTCAACCGGAAGGGGAGGGACTTCGCCTCTCTATAAACAAACTACACAGTCACATGGCTGAGCAGCCCTAGCGCTAAGCTAAAGGCGGCTAAGCTGAAGGCAGCCAAACTAAAGACAGCTAATGTTCTGAGTGTTGACATATTCAAGTCTCATTGAGTCACTTTTTAGCAACCACCTCTTTATATGACAAATTGAAGCGTCAGACGTTCACCAGTGGGGTATTTACTGACGTGTTTTATGTCGTAAAAACAAACATTCATGCCTCTTAAGCTTGTGTTCACCACAGACCTTATTTCAGGCATATAACCAAAAGCACGTTAAAAAACACATTGACAAGGGAACCGGAAGTGTTAAAATGCTGACTAATTTCTGGCTTTTAGGAATCATTCCTGCACCACACCTTTATTTCCTTCCTTTATCTTTTGTTTGGTGCAGTAGGCCTATGCTGAGAGTGTGAATTATCACTTTGTCATTTTTTTGTACAGCGCGTGTGGAATTGCTTTTTGCAGTATCTTTTCTTTGCATAAAACATTTTGTGACAGCTCTGATGTAACATGGCAAATGCAATGATGTGTGTGTGTTTGTATGTGTGTGTGTCACTGTGTGTGAGTGTATGTCACATGTTGATGTGTGTCTCCTACAAAATGAGGCAGTTATTTCCAGGATGGTGTCTGCAGGGTTTTTTTCTCCTGCAGTTTCTACATCTACATGCAAGAAGTGGAAAAGGTTGAATTACAGAGGTGTGGAATGTAACTGACCTTGCCTTAAACTCGATTTCTTGCTAGCTTTTTTAATTCCAAACTCATCCTTATTTTCCCAGCCGACCAAGGCTCTTTCTACTGTAGGAAATATATTCCTCTTGGTTTGTCTCCATGAGTCAATGTCAGCAGCTAAGCTAAGGATTTGCCCTGCAGGAAAACACCAGGAAAGGTTCCTTTCCTCATACTTCCCCTTTTCTCCAGTCCCCCCCAATCTATTCTTATAATTAATCATTCTGAAACCGTCAACAGATGCTATAGTAAAACTGACAACAAATGGAACATAAAGGTATTTACCGTCTTGCCGCAAATGCAGGAAGATTAAAAAGAGCTGCAATAAATCAGCAAGAACATTTGAATTTGAAATGATTTGCTGACCCTGAAGGCTTTTTTGAAGGACTTTTTTTTTGCAGAGAAAAACAACATATTTAAGAAGCACAGAGCTTAGCACACATGGGTGCCTCAAGGTGAAACCTCCCCACCTGCTACCAGCACAGAGACAGGAACAGCCCCTATTCCCGGCCGAGGTACGGACGGTAATGAGGAGCTAGACTGATGGCTCCGGCTCTCACAAGGAGAAGGTTATTTACATTACACAGCCCCAGCAAGTGGGTTTGTTCAGAACCGCTGCTTCACAGGAAGTATTGGGGTCATGCTGGCCTCAAGGAACAGTACCGCTCTGCAGAGGAGCCAGAGGTGCACATTCATTAAAAATACATCTGTGACAGCGGAGGAACAAATGGCTGTGCCTCTGCTCTGGTCCTGTACTCCCTCCCCGCGGTCATTCATCATCTGCACTTGCACACCAGCTCCATGTTCACTGTTCATTATTCTCCCCCGCTCTCCCTCTATCTGTTTAAAGGGGGGGGAAACAAAGGTTATTTCGCTCCAAGAAAAAAGTTATGTTTTAAAGGGGTTCATGGACCATTTGGAGGTAAATTCATTGAAATGTCTTTGGTAATTAAGAAGGGGACACACCTTTGCTCATTTTTTGTTTCAAAGGAAGTGTCATGTTTAGTCACTTACAGAAGAATCCTGCTTCCGATGCTTCATTTTCTAAGATTTCCATTACACAATCAAGAAAACATGAAAGATAGAAGAGAAAAGATAAAGAGAAAAATGAAAGTTTAATGATCTTGTTAGAAAAATTGGGTCACTGAAGAAATATAAGGGTGTGACATTAAGAAGAACACAATTAGAGCAAACAGAGCATGTTGGGGATAAATCTACAAATGATGTTATGTATAATGAGGCTGAAGATTCAGTTATGGGTCTTAATTATGCTGCTATATATAACTGCACTTGGCATACAGAACTGCAATTCACTCCAAAGATTTTAAGAAAGAGATATGCCGATGGGCTGTGGCGTTTAAATGAGATGGGAGCACAGTGAGGGGCAGTGGTGTAGTGGGGATTTTTTTTACTGGGTGCACACTATTTTAAGGTCATCCCAAGCAATGCCACAAGTGCGCACGCAATACGGGCAGACAGGTATACAGAAACTACCGGTATGCTTAATCCTACTTTAGTTACTGTACTGCAAAAAGCAGACGGCGCTGCGCTCAACACACACAGACTCAAAACCATGGACACACCGGCACATAAGTTACATAAACAATTTATAGGCCTAAGTTGCATAAATGCTTGAGCTACAGTATTGCAACTAAGCAGACAGCGCTGCGTCTCTCTCTCTCTCTCTCTCTCTCTCTCTCTCTCTCTCTCTCTCTCTCTCTCTCTCTCTCTCTCTCTCTCTCTCTCTCTCTATCTCCACTTTCAAAATCTATTGAAAACTCATAACAAACAAACAAAATTCCCAAAGTTGTCCTGAAATTAACTTATTTAGCTTCGGTGCTGCTAGCCTCTTTCTTCTCGTGAATGATATTCTTTTAAGAAAAGAAGTCAAGTAACGTTTTTTTGCCTGCCATTATAGAGCTGTTTCGTTTGCGTTCTTGAGGGAAAGAGCTGCTGCAAAATCGGCGGGCGGCGAGCTGGTGGTGTCACCCTGGGGTCACGAGCGTGATGACGAATCATAATATTTTAAGGAAATCGTTTTTATTTTTTATTATAATTACTGTGAAATGTATTATGTTTTTGTCATTATTACAACAAATACACACTTGCAACTGATAACACTGGCAATGATTTTATATTTATTAGACTATTCAAAAAAATCATGCTTCAAAAAAGTGGGGGCTCCAAATAAGTGGGGGAACGGCGATCCCCCGCGTCCAACGACTAGTGATGGGAATTCCGGCTCTTCTTGGTGAGCCGGATCATTTGGCTCGGCTCACCAAGAAGAGCCGGCTCTTTCGGCTCCCAAACGGCTCTTCAGTTTACCACATATTATACCTTTTATAATTCAATCAAATGTAGCCCTGTTTTGACTAATGATTTATATGTGTACACATATCACTTAAATTATTCAATACATCCTTTGTACTGAAGTATTCAAAAGTAAAAATTACATGTTTAATATCAATTATTTGCTGTGGCCAATTGTTTTCATTGCATTTACAGACCCTTGTATCTCTCTGATACCACCCAATGAATGCACTGACTTGCTTGTAGAACCACGCTACACAAAGCAGATAGCAACACAAAAACGTAAGCATAGACATTTAAAAAAAGGGGCTACTGTATCGACATTTTAAAATGATATTTAAAGAAAGGGCCCTGACAAAACAGCAGGGCTCTATTTCAGTATTAACTATAGAAAAAAAGACAGCAACAGCTGACATCAAATCTTTGCTGAGCCCAAGGATAATCATAAATAAATAACATAGTGAAAATAAATGTATTGCAATGCTCAGTACAGCAGCATCCAACCGTCTCTAATCATAAAAAAACATAATAAAAATAAATGTATTGCAATGCTCAAAGCAGCAGCATCCAACAGTCTCTAATCCTTGGATATTACATGTCACTGCATGCATGCACGGAGCAGCTGTAGCGCGGAGATCATCATATCATTCTGTCTTGTATTACTTTAAAAAAAAGAAAAAAAAAAAGAAAAAAAATGGCTCGTTCGCGGGCGCGAGCCGGCTCCCGTCGTTCACTTAAAAGAGCCGAAACTCAAAGAAGAACCTGGATTTTTTTTGTGGAAGGTTAGCAAAAAAAAACCTGGCTCATATCTCATTTAAGGCAGGTTAACATGCTAGTAACTGGTGCAAGAATAGTTTGACATTTGCTTTGCTACTACTCTTGTGTCTGTAATGTAGAAATATGGCTGCAGCCAGCTAGCTTAGCTTAATTAAGCTTAACTTAGCTTAGCAGAAAACGGCTAGCATGGCTCTTTGCAAAGGTACCAGCAGTTTACTTTCAGCTTTTATTTGATTCAATTGGGAGGTTGCTTATCTTTCCTCTCCTAGGGATATTTCTCTTCAGTCTTCTTTATTGTTAATTGTTGGGATTTCCACAAGAATCATGCACAGGCAAAATTATTTAGAGTTTTGGGCTGCATCTACACGGAGACGAAACGGAGAAAGAACCGACTTCGATATCAAAAAAGTATTCCGTCCACACGGTATCGCCTCATGAAACGTGTCCGTCCACACGAGACCGCCCGACCCGCTGGAGACGCTGTAGTACATATGCCGGGCCTGTAAG